ACCCCCCTACAACCCCACCCGACAACCCAAAACCCCACCCCCACAGCCCTAGCTCATCACTTCGACACTATGTCCCTCCGTGAACCCACTTCGTATATGGATACCGGTGCATCCAATTATATTGCTTCTGACCCAGGTACTATTTCTCATGTTAATTCTCAATCTTTATATTCACCATTATATATCACTGTAGGTAATGGATCTAAAGTTAGCACTACCGCTGTTGGTAACCATACCCTCCCCACCACCCCTTCCCTGTCCCTTAAAAATATCCTTATCTCTCCTCACATCACTCACAACCTTATCTCTGTCCGTCAACTCACTCGCGATAATAATTGTACAGTTGAATTTGACTATAATGGTTTTTCTGTGAAGGATCGTCGGACGGGCACCGTGATGCATCGATCCAATGATATGGGACCCCTCTACCCCCTAGGACGCCTAGCTGCCGCTCAAGCCAACGTCGCCGCTATCGACCTCCTGGAACCGGCGCCTAGGCCATGCGAGTCACAATATCCTTAGCAATATTTCTTCTTTTCCTTTTTTTAAAAGTTACCAACAATCTCTTTGTCATGCATGTCAATTGGGAAAGCATGCGCGCCTCCCATTTTATTCTTCTAGCCGTGTTTCCATGCTTCCGTTTCAACTTTTACATACAGATTTATGGCAATCTCTTGTTCCGAGTATTGCTGGTTTTAAATTTTATATGTTATTGTTGGATGATTTTTCTCACTATCTTTGGGTTTTTCCTTTAAGACATAAAAGTGATACTTTTAATAATTTAACCTCTTTTATAGCATATGTCAAAAATCATTTTAATACAACAATAAAAGCAGTTCAATGTGACAATGGAACAGAATATCGTAATTCACCACTTAAAAATATTTTTGACTTCTTAGGTATCCTCTTTTGTTTCTCGTGTCCTCACACCAGTCAACAGAACGGCCGTGCTGAGCGCACAATTCGTACCATCAACAACTCGGTTCGTTCACTCCTCTTCCAAGCCCAACTTCCACCTACCTTCTAGGTTGAGGCCCTTCACATGACTGCCCATATTTTTAACATTCTTCCCACCACCACTTTACAAAATAAGACCCCCCACGCCACCCTCTTCCATTCCCCGCCCTCCTACGATCACCTTCGCATCTTTGGTTGCTTGTGTTACCCCAATATCTCCGCCACTGCTCCCCACAAACTAGCCCCACGCTCCGCACGTTGCATTTTTCTCGGCTATCCCTCTAACCAATGCGGTTTCCGTTGTTTCGATCTTACCACTCACAAAATCATTATCTCCCGCCACGTCGTGTTTGATGAATCCTGCTTCCCCTATGGTCACCCCGTCTCCACCCACGAACTTACCTTTCTTGACGACGACCCACCCCC